TATATATATATATTATCATAATAATTAAAATTAATAAAAGAAACACGTTGATAAGCTCTAGTCTTTTTTTTCTTCATTATTTTTTTTCCCATCATATGTCTAGTAGGTCTTACACAACTTTTTAGTTTTTTTTTTTTTTTAATATAATGCCTCAAGCTATATACTTAAAACAAAACAAAGAAAATATCATGGCCCAAACTAAAGTATCCCAAAGTTCCCCCATATTTAGAAAAAGAACATGGTCCAATTCCTTTGGTCCATCACTGTAATAAGGTCCATCTTCATTTCAATGAATACGATTCATAGTCCTATCGAAGCACAACTATTCAGAAAGCACCTACATAACTTTAACAATCAACTATGTATATCATTCTCATTCAATAACAAAAACTGATGCAGTAAAATCCTACCTATCCCCACGCCAGAAGTAAGCGATATTTCATTGAAACAAGTAAGCAAATTTATTAATTCAAACAAAGAATCATCCAAATATTTTTTTAACAAACAGTTATCACATATATTATCAAATAAATAAAACAAAAAGAAGTAGAATAGTATTAGCAAGAAAAAAGCCATTAATTTTAGACCAAAATTCTCTACCTATTGACTGCTAAATTTGTATGTTTAAATGGCTGTGTTAAAAAAATAAATCAAAAGACAATTTTAATTTTAAATTAATATTTATTTTGAGTGGGATTTTTTCAATCAAAGTATTTGTTCAGTTTATATATATACATATATATATATATAGTGTAATTATTTAATTCTTACTTTCCTTTGAACCGTGTCCATATTGCATTTTAATAAAGCCAACCGACCAAATAAAAAAAGAGAATTGGGCCAAGGAAAATAAAATAAGACAAGAGAAACAAGGTATGCTTGCGAAGGAGACAAAGAACATTTGAGATATTGAAACAAAGTACATGGGACTTCTAAGCTCATCAATGCTCTTGGTCAAGGGGCGAATGCATTCGAGCCAAATATTAGCAATACATTTCAAGAAGATTATTATATTTCTCCCTTGACAAATATATAGATTATAATTTTTTTGCTAAAGCAGTATAAAAAATCTTATAATTTTTTTAAATAGTTTATTTTTATTATTTTCTAAAATAGATTATAAAAAAATGTTAAATTTATGAAAAATACTTGCATTCGAATTTAGCCAGAGCCAAATATATATAAATAATGGATTTTCATTGTTTTTTCTATTCTCAAATTAAACTTTTTACTTTTTAATTACTTCACTTAAAGTATTATAAATATTAATTTATTCACAATACAAATTATTATGTTCATTGCTAGTAGTTTTTTTTTTGTTTTTAATTTTTTATGTCTCCTTTTTCACTAAAAAAATATTGTGATTAAATATATTTATATTTTATGTATTTCTAGTAAAAAAAATTTACATGTTTGCTTTTACAATGATGAGTAATAGTTCAATTTTTATAATTTTTGAATATTGGGTATTTCAAAATTTAAAATTATTGATATCTTATGTTGATTTTTTTTGTGTGTTTTACATTTTTAATTTTTTTTAATACTAAACATATATAAATGGTGAAAAGATTCACAAAAAAAAAAATTGTGACTAATGATTTTCTTTTATAATATTTCTGTCAGATATAGATATATATATATATGTATATATAATTTTAGTATTTTAATTATTTAGTTTTAAAATTTTAGTTTATTTTTGTA